CAGCTGCCTCCTGCACGCCCCCCACTGTGAATGTGCCCGCAACCAAGGTACATGCCCTTTACCGGAATCGAACCTGGGACCCCTGAGTCCGCAGGCTGACGCTCTATCCACTGAGCCAAACCATTCTTGGCGGGGCTCAGATCTTTCTCTGCCACTTCGGACAAGCTACTTCACACTCCTAAACTTGTTTCCTCATCCGTGAAATGGGGATGTTATTAAGACCTGTTATTGTTGAGAGTGAGTCAATTCATACAAATTATACAAGCACAGAGCCTAGCAAATGATGGACATTCAATAAACGGTAGAGCCATTACCATCCTCGCCACCATCTCCCTCCATCCTTCACTCACTCCTCTCCTTGGTGCACTCCAAGTCACAATTCCAGGCATTATTACTACTCATGTTTTTGTTTTCCAGTATTTTTCCCACCTTTAATGCTCTGGAATGATGCCTCTCTCTCTTGCAATCTGCCAGCATGCCAAAGATAAAATTCTTCTTGACCTGTTAAAATCGAAAGAAGGAAATGCTAGTATATTGAATCCCATTTAATTTATCCTACCTTTAGCCTTAAGCTTTGCCTCCTAAAAACAATGGGTTTCCATTATTTGTGTCTATTCCTATTCATGTTGCTTCTCTTTCTAAATAAAACAATTTTAACTATAGAAGCAACCCAGATAGAACTTCATTTTTTTAAATAATATATTTTTATTGGTTACAGAGAGGAAGGGAGAGGGAGAGAGAGATAGAAACATAAATGATGAGAGAGAATCATTGATCGGCTGCTTAATGCATGCTCCCTACTGGGGATCGAGCCCACAACCCAGGCATGTGCCCTTGACCGGGAATCGAACCAGGGACCTTTCAGTCCACAGGCCAGCACTTTCTCCACTGAGCCAAACCAGCTAGGGCAGAACTTCTCTTTTTTTTTTAATCACTCTGAAAGTAATATTACCATTTCCTCTTTAATTTGAGCAGTCCCCTCCCCTCCAAAAAAAAAATGGTACTAATCTAATTTCGAATAACCAAGGGCTGGGTTCACACTTGTCTGAATGGCATTTGAACTCACTCATTCAGGAGGTTTGGTAGATAAACTGAATTCTCACCTATTTTCATGTAGGGTCAACACTCCTGGGTGCGTTTATTTTGGCATTTCACTAGAACACTGATGAATTTGGACAGTACAGACTGGACCTATTGATCCAGTCATTCCCTTTGGGTACTGAGATAACAAAGTCAAATAAACAATGTCAGGAGAGAATTAGAATTTATTGAAGACTCAGATCTAAAATTAAGAAATTGGGAGTTATTTCCAAACCTGCTCTTCCTTCCTATAGACCTCTCTGTTTTCAGACGCTCCAGGAGCACCTTTGCGAATAAAATTGGCCTTATAATTTTTAGCTCAGGACAAAACCATACTTTTCTTAATTTTTTAATCATCATTTGGAAGAGCGATAGGATATAAGGCCTGTTAAACTTTAGACTTCCCTTGAATATGCTGGCACCAAGAGGCCTGTGTTCATTGGAGAGTTTGACAGCCCTACACATGGGTCTGGAATCAGGGGCTTCTAGAATTCGTGGTAAAGAACTGACCTGCTGGTAGGTGCAGCTGATGTTTGTAGAACATCGCGGAAGCACAGCTTTTGCGGGAGTCGAGGCCATTTGTTATCAGCTCCAGAAACTTGTTGCTCTTTGATGAACAAGCTCAGTAGTTGGTGTGCGAATGCCCTGGGTTTAGTTACTGAGCTCAGAGTGCTGCTTCTGGCATCAGCTGAGCAAACTTAGGAAATTGTAAGTTTCACTTCTGCCATCTGTAATTTTGGTTTTCTTTTTTAAATATATTTTTATTGATTTCAGAAAGGAAAGGAGAGGGAGAGAGAGATAGAAACACCAATGATGAGAGAGAATCACTGACCTGCCGCCTCCTGCACCCCTACCCTGGGGACCGAGCCCGCAACCCGGGCATGTGCTCTGACCGGGAATTGAACCATGACCTTCTGGTTCATAGGTCGATGCTCAACACTGAGCCGTGCTGGCCAGGCTGTAATTTTTTGCTTTTTAAATCAGTGATAGACACTGAGAACTTCTATCCTCCTCTAATCTCTCAGGTTTCCTCTAATTCCCAAACAACATTCAGCTTTTGGAGCTCTTTTGCTTTTCTCAGAAAATTAGAAAGCCTATGCCAGTGAGTGTCGCAGAGCAAGGGAAGGATGATCAGCTGTTTCCTCAGCTTCCTCCTGAGACTCCGAATTTGGAGATGTATCTCCACCACCATGAACCAGCATTATGGGTGAGAACATCTCCTTGAGATGCCAATGTGCAGTTAAAACATATAAAGAACACTTAGAGGGGCCGGCCAGTGTGGCTCTTGTCTTTCTTTTTTCCTTTTGACAGTCTTAGTCCCTGTGGAACTGTCTTATAAAAAGGCAATTTCACAGTTTTAGATGATCAACAAGCCGCCTCTCCTTCTTTAATTAAGAGGGCTCTCCCTAGCTGGCATCCCTGTAGAGATCAGTCTTCCCCATCCAGACCGTTCACAGGTAGGACTTCATCAGAACGATTTCTGGTCCTGGCGTTCCAAGTTCCTGGGATGATTGTGTCCCTTGGAAATTGCATTGACTATATGAGTTAGAAACCACCAATATTGGAACCAAGGCATCTAATGTGTCCACATGGACCTTGGCAGTTTAACAGCTGCCAGTTATTGAGTATCCTTGCTGTTCTAGGCACTGTACACATACTCTAAACCTACCAAGCCATTTCACTATGTCCCTGTCACACAGAAGAGAAAACCGAGGAGTAATTTGTCCAAAGTCACGCAGGTGGTAGGAGGCAGAGCAGGGGTTGACCCCAGTCTGTTGGGATTCTCTGTGTGTACACACTCTCCCTCCACGCACTGCTCTTTGCCTCTGTTATTGCTGAAAGTACTTAAAAGTTGTGACAGCCTGCTCCGTGGGGGTTGATGCCTATGAACCAGGAGGTTCAATACCTGGTCAGGGCACACGTCCAAGTTGTGGGCTCGATCCCCAGTGGGGGGTGTGCAGGAGGCAGCCAATCAAAGATTCTCATCGGTGATGTTTTTACCTCTCCCCCTCCCTTCCTCTCTGAGATCAATAAAAATATACAGTTTTATTTTTTAAAGTAGTGACATATTAATACCTCTTATTAGGAGTCAGATAATGATAAGGATAAATTTTTTTATTTATACAAAAAATAGATGGTGTACATGGGATACAACAGTGAACAAGATCCAGACAGGGATCCTGTGGCACCGGTGGGCAGAGAGACAGAGGGACAGGGTGTTGCGTGCCCTAAGGGTGAGCATGGAGACACCTCATCCAGGCGTGAGGGCTCAGGAGACACTTCCTAAAGGCAGCATCTGAGCTGAGACCTGAAGGACAAGAAGGAATCATAGCCCAGAAGTAAAACCACGGTCATAATAGCTGTCACATACGCAGTGCCAGCCCTCCGCAGGCCTCCCACAAGTGCTGTACGCACATGAAACGTGTGCACATGCAGTCCTCACAACAGCCTTTCGAGGAGGTGGTCCTTTACCCTGTCTTACACCTGAGGAGCTGGGGCGTAGAGTAGCTAGGGGCTGACTTGGCCAAGTGCACACAGTTGTGATTGGCAGGCACTGTATAGGAGTCAGGCAGTCTGGCCCCAGAGTCCCAGCTTTTACCAGTGTCTCTCCAGCACAAGGGTGAGGAGCGGTGAGCATGTTGCCAGCGGAGGGAGAGCGCCTGTGCAGAGGGCCCGCGGCACCGAGCGCAGGGTCGGGCAGAGCCTCCCAGCTACGGCCGAGAGGACCCGGACTCGGTGTGCGTCTGCCACCTCCTCCGCTCCAGTAGCGCTCCTCCGTGATGTGAGCCTGCTTGCGTGCGCATGCCTGGGGTTAGTGACCCTAGACATGAGCACAGACATGGCAGAGCGCTGAGGTTCTCCCAGAGATGTTCCCATATGCCAAGCAAGATTTAGGAGCAAAGCAAATTGTGTCTTAATCCTTTCCGATCGCCAGACTTACAAAACTTCGTGTTGAGATTGAGACGGGACTCCCCACATCAGTGTAACATCCCATTTCCCCCAAATTTCTGTCCCGCCGCTGCCCTCCCCCATCCTCCGTGACAGAGAGCCTTTTGTCCCGCCTGTAACACTCCCAGCAATGCCTAGGCCTATTTTGATACCCGTAGTTTCCATGCAGCAGATCCTGTGGGCACAGTAAACAGGGATAGACCTCAAGCTGGTTTTCTGAACCAGAGGAAAGGAAGTCCTTCCTCTTCGGTTGCCCTTTCCTCTCTCATTCCCTCTGCCTTCCGCTGGGTCAGCTCGTTTTCCGGGTCAGCTAGCTGTCAGGGCCCTGCTCTCCCCCTGGTGCGTAGGAAGGAAGAGAGCATCTCCCTGTGCATGCAGGGAGATGTATTTTAACATGTATGTGCTAGGAAAAAACCTGGCATGTATGCCAAAATGCTCACACTTTTTGTTTCTAGGGATCTGACTAGAGAGGATGAAAACACGTATTGGCTTGTGTTTTGTGATTTGCATGTCTATATTTCTTAATTTTTGTATGTAACTGTTATAAAAGTAAAAATAACATTTTATAAAGAAGAAATTCTGTTCTCAGAGATCGTCCTGCCTGGGGCAGGCAGCAGCGTCCACCTCTGGCTGCTTAGGGGATGAGCCCTCTGTGACCTGAGGGCGTGTTAGCCCCCCCCCCCCCCCCCATGCTTGTTTAGACTTTGACCCCACAGCCTTCACAGTGTGGTGCGTACATGAGGGATCCCTGACACATTCCTCTGTGTTTCTTTCTAGATCAAACTTGGATCCCTTCAGCCAGTACACAGAAGACCAGATCTGGGACGCCCTGGAGAGGACGCACATGAAAGAATGTGTAAGAAGCCAGGGCGAGCGATGCTGTGGGCACTGCCCAGCCTGCCTGGCTGCTTCCGTCCAGCCTGGTCTGTCCTCCACCTCCAGGGTATCTGTGGAGGAACACTCTTGAGCAGGACTTCCCAGACATTCCAGAAAGGGCATAAAAGTGGATATTTCCTGCCCTCCACCTCCTCCCTCTACCCCCACGCCCATGATCATATTACCCTTTTCCCACCTATAGACTGAAGACATGTCCATGACAACTACTCAGAATTCAGTCATGCTTTTACATTAACTTCTACTTTATTAATCATAACAGTACAGCAGGCTTTTGAAGTATCTTTCTGTGTGCGAGAGATACATCATTTATTGAGTCTGCAGAAAGCACGCAGTAGGCTCGTGGGTTCACAGATCTCTGCGGGGTGCTCAGCAGGTCCCTCCAGGGGCTGCAGTCTACAGATGGATATTCCTCGCTGGGAGGAGGGTGACCGTGCCTTTGCTCAAGTCAAACTCAGGATCCCTTGCCCTGACTCAACTAGATCAGCTCTCCTTTTCTCTCTTTTAGATTGAGCTTTCTCAAGTAATTTCATTTGAAGACTAGCTTGCGTAGCTTACAAAAAGAAAAGTTTGACAGCCAAGGGGCTAGAGCTTTAGACTTAAGAAAGACAGCAGTTTTATGTTCCCCATTTCCTATTGCACAACCAACTTTTCAGTGGCTCAAAAATTAGGACCACTGTCTGCCAGGATTTGGGGACATGAAAATATTGGAATTTCTGGGACATTTTGAGAGTAGGAGACTAACAGAATAGTATATTTGAAATAGGGGGTCCTAGAAAACCTGGGTCCTGGTCACGTGACCATCACACCTGTACCTTCTTTCTAGGTGAGCCAGGTTCTCAGCTAGAATTCCTCCTTCTGTTCCAGAATAATTTACCTTTGCTACTGGATTTTTGGCAAAAGCTAGGGTGTTTCTCCCCCTCACTTTTGGACCCTTCTCATTTCTACTTTCTTTCTTCCTAGATTGCTCAGCTACCTCTGAAACTTGAATCTGAAGTGCTAGAGAATGGGGAGAACTTCTCCGTGGGGGAACGCCAGCTCTTATGCATAGCAAGAGCCTTGCTCCGTCACTGCAAGGTGCGGCGGTGTGGTGGAAGCTGGGGGAGGGGAGGGGAGGGACAGGGGAGAGCAGGGAGGTGGAGGAGCACCCTTCCCTGTGGCACGAGGTCTGAAGGCGTTCCTGGCTCCCAGCCCAGTGGCACTTTGAAGAGAATGCCCAAAGGTGTTTCTCGATTAACCTTGACACAATTTGGGTGTGTGGGTGGGTGTGTTTTTTTTTAAGTATGTTTTTATTGATTTCAGAGAAGAAGGGAGAGGGAGAGATAGAAACATCAATGATGAGAAAGAATCATAAGTAACGTATGGTATAAAATTCAAATGCTAAAATACTTTTTAGGGAAATCTAAATTAGCCAGAATGCTTAAGGAACTGGTTGGATCCTCTTTCTCCTCTCTTCCCTGGCAGATTCTGATTCTAGATGAAGCCACAGCTGCCATGGACACGGAGACAGACCTACTGATCCAAGAGACCGTCCGAGAAGCGTTTGCCGACTGCACTATGCTGACGATTGCCCACCGCCTGCATACGGTCCTAGGCTCTGATAGGATTATGGTGCTGGCCCAGGGACAGGTACTGAGGCATGTGGCCTTGTCTGGGAGGACGGGGCTGGTTGGCATCTGAGGGTGGTTCTGAACATTTAGAAAAGCAGCCATAGCAGCTCTAGTCCAGTCCGTTTGGAGAGAGATACAGCCCCCTCCCAACAAGGCACTGAATTTGAGGCCCTCCTGGGTTCTTGTTTTGCTTTACTACCTGGTATTTTGTTGCTTGAAAATAGGGGCACACTGACTTAGGTCAGCGAGCAAGTTTAGTTAGTAATTAATTCACATCGATAACAATTGCCCAAGGCGTGTTGAGACCAGCCACCAGGTGTCGTTTGCTTTTTGCAATCATGTAGAGGTGCCAGACTTGTATCCTGCTATTCCAAGCTTCCCCACAACCTGGCCCAGCCATGCCTGTTTCATTTCCCTCTCGTTCCTTACAAGCGCTGTTAGCCATAATCTTGCATCCCCTAAGCTTTTCCATCTTCTATGTCTACTCATACAGTTTCACCTACCTAAACTGTCCTTTGCCCTTCATTCCTTTCCCATATCTACCTGCTTTCAGCCTGCCTGTCTCTCAAGAAAGCCAGTGTCTCTGTCCACACATAGTGCAGTGTCTGCTCTAGTACCCAGCCTCCTGCCCTCCTGCAGCCAGTCTGAAGGAAGGATGCTTTGTCCTTAGCCTGTCTCCCCTGGGCAGATCCTTTCCTAGAAGCGCCCCCAGAGACCTCCCCTTCCATCTCCTGGCAAAGATGTGTCCATGCCTTTGCCCTGCAGAAGGGGGGCTGGGAAGTATGTGGCATTGTCAGCCACATCCTGGGAGGCAGGTCCTACCAGGATGTCATTCACTTTCCTACTGCAGTATGGTTTCCAGTGACTGCATAGAAGTCCATCGTAGGACTGGATAATTGACTGAGTCTATCCTTTACTCACTTTTTTTCTTTTTCTATTTTTATTGATTGATTTCAGAGAGGAAGGGAGAGGGAGAGAGAGATAGAAACATCGATGATGAGAGAGAATCATTGATCGGCTGCCTCCTGCATGCCCCCTACTGGGGATCAAGCCTGCAACCTGAGCCTATGACCTTGACTAGAATTGAACCTGGGACCCTTCAGTCGCAGGCTGATGCTCTATCCACTGACCCAAACTGCTTGGGCTTCACTTTTATATATATATATTACTTATTTTTAGAGAGAAAGGGGGCGGACGGACAGAGAGAGGGAGCGAGAAACATCCATTTGTTCCACTTATCTATGCATTCATTGGTTGACCCTTGTATGTGCCCTGACCGGAGAGATAGAATCCACAACCTTGGTGTATCATGATGATGCTCTAACCAACTGAGCTACCCAGCCAGGACTCTCACTTCCTTTTATTTTTTATTTTTTTGCCAAGTAGGTCTCCTGAGCCGTTCCTTTTCCATCTGTAGGTTTAGATCAGCTTGCGTAACTAGATGCCATTTGCCTGCTAAGCCTTTGACTTGTGCTGCCGTGGGTTCCCCCACAGCCTGTAATACCTTGTCGATTGATTCCTACACACCTAGGGCTGAATGAATTAGGTGAAGGGCGTCTAGAGGTGTTCCTCTCCAACCTTTCCCTGGTACCCTGGTTAGTTTAAAAAAAATAAAATAAAAAGGAGCCCATGTGGACACGGCAGGGCTCGTCGCATTATCACCCTGATTCCATCCTCAAGGGGCTTTGGGGCTTGCCCCCCTTCCTGAACAGTGTGTCCTCGAGTCACACCCTGATGCCGTCTCCTTCCTTTGCAGGTAGTGGAGTTCGACACCCCATCGGTCCTTCTGTCCAATGACAGCTCCCGGTTCTATGCCATGTTTGCTGCTACAGAGAACAAGGTCGCTGTCAAGGGCTGACTCCTCCCGCGCCGCCTCCGTCTCTTTCCTCTGGAGCGTCGCCATCCCGGGGCCCGCGCTCTTCCTGTCCAGCGGAAACCTTGCCTTTCCCGATTTTACCTTTCGCACAGCAGTTCAGGATCGGCTTGTGTGTTTCACTTGTAGGGAGAGTCCTATTTTGATTATTGTATTGACTCCAGATTCATGTAAACAGACTTTAGTTTTTGTTTTTAATTGCACTCTAAAAGGTTCAGGGAACCGTTATTATAAATGTATCAGAGGCCTATAATGAAGCTTTCTACGTGTAGCTGTATCTATATATATATATATATATAAAATCTGTACATAGCCTATATTTACAGTGAAAATGTAAGCTGTTTATTTTATATTAAAATGAGCACTGTGCTAATAACAGTGCAGATTCCTTTCTATCGTTTTTGTACAGTTTGCTGCACTGGAGATCCGGTTTTGCTATTAGATGACAGAAAGGGTAGCCTATTGTTCTTTGCCAGCTGGTTGTTTCATGGCGCCAGGTTTTCTGGGTGTCCGAAAAGGAAGACGTGTGGCAACGGTGGGCCCTGCAGCGGCCCCCTCTGCCGCCTCCCCACAGCCACCCCAGCCCGGGGCGGCGCCGAGGCCCCGCTGGAGGCCGTGCAGAGCGCCATGGATTCTCAGGGCTCCTGCCTTCTGTCCTGGTGTCACCTCCCTGTTTCCGTCAGGAGAGCAGTGGGGCAAAGCTCCCCACCCCCCTTTCCCTCCCTGCCTTCCTCTTCTTGCTGTTGTTTCTAAACAAGAATCAAGTCTCTTCACAGAGTGTCCCACTGCCTCAGGTTCCGCACGCTGGCCACTGCACAGAGCTCCGGCTCCCACACCCGTCGGCTCCCAGCCCCGGGGCCGACCGCTGCTTTTTCCGGGGGTCCTTCTTCATTTGCCTGGTCTGCGCCACCACAGTTCAGTGACAGGGTTCAGGATTCCGTGGGTCTGTCTTCTTTTCTCACTGCGGATGTCGCAGTCTCCTCCTCTCCCCAAAGTCTGCGACTCCAAGCAGCTCTTGCTACTCAGTGTCTCGCACTGGTGTGGAAGTCTTCGTACTGTAAAGAGACCTACCTCAGGTTGCTGATTGCCGTGTGGTTCGGTGTGCTTCTGCAAACCCCCTTTGTGCCGTGGGGCCAGCAGCTCAGGTGGGCGTGGTCGCTGCTGTCATCAGTTGAATGGTCAGCGTTGCATGTCGTGACCAACTAGACATTCTGTTGCCTTAGCATGTTTGCTGAACACCTTGTGGAAACAAAAACCTGGAAAAGTGAATAAAGTTATTTTGGATTTTATAAAACTCTTGGTGTATAAACTAGTTCTCTGGGAAGGGAGCAGGGTGTCTTTGAATGACGGGAATCCCAGAGGCAGGCTCTGAGTCTCCGGCGATGGAGTTACATCCGAGAAGGGCCAGGAGCAGAGCCGGTTGGTTGCCAGGGGCACGGGGCCCAGCAGGCCTGACATCCCCGGGTGGGCCCTGGCCCCTAAGACTGTGTCACCAAATACAGCTCCCGGGCTGCCAAGGAGCGGGTTGGGCATGGGCAGGGTGATGCTTGGGCGAGGTGGGCGGTGGTGGTGAAATACACTTCAGATGAACAGTTGGTTAAGGGTTCTTAGCAATTCAAACAACGTAACTGCCTTTTTGGCCAATTCATTCAGCTTACCTCGTTGAGAATTAAGTTCCCATCCAGAAGGGTGATCATCACGGAGTTTCTCGATAGAGTGCATGGAATGCAGCCAAGAAGCTTTCAACCTGCTTGGTGCCGGTTCTGCCGACCATCAGCAGGGCTCATCCCCTGAACCCAGCCTTTTCGTAAAGTGCTGCCTTGGAAACACAGAGGCTTGACTCTAAAGTCAAACTTTTCCTCCCACATTTCGAGTGCTCAGGAGCCACGTGGCCTGCGGCTACTGTGTCGGACACAGATGCAGAACGTGCCCCTAGCTGCAGGGAGTCCTGTTGGACGGCGCTGACATGAACACGCACTTCCGCTGACGCCTGGACTTACCTTCCCGGAGGGGAACGGGCAGCGAAAGGGCCTCCTGGTCCTTGTCCTGTTCAAGCTCTGCTGCTCCGGGACTCACTCCACCTCCTGTCAGCTCTGTTCTCACCTCGGGTGTCCTCCCACCTCTCTTAACCTGCTTTGCCCTCTTAAAGGAGAGCTTTTTCCTGCCTCTGCCCACTCCCTTTTCTCTCTGCACAGATTCTTTCCCTCCCACGGGTGAAGTGACAAAGCTTCCACTGTGGGCTTGGCCCCTCCTTGGTACCAGCTGCCTGCTAAGTGCCTCCACTGGGCATCACCGGTGCCTCAAACAGCTTCTTGAAAATCAGTGCTGCTTTAGTAGTACCATTGTCCTCTGGAGTCTGTCAGGCTAGCAGCCTTGAGTTAATTTACTCTCCTTCCCCTTCCCAATAAATTCAGTCACTCCAGGTCCTATGCATCACCACCACCCCCTTCTCCCTCCCTCTATTCATAATATAATTAGAGCCTCATGGTCTCCCTGCCTCGGTGCCCCTCTCTGAGCCATTGTATTTACTACTGACAATATGGAAACCAAAAATGCAAGTTGGTGAAATACTTTATAGCCCAAAGAGGCGGTGGTGCATTGACACAATGGAATGCTACTTGGCCATAAAAAAGAGGCAAGGCTTACCTTTTGCGACAGTATGAACAGACCTGAAGGTTATTATGCTTCGTGAGATAAGCCAGTCAGAGAAAGACAAGTATCATATGATCTCCTATGTGGAACCTAATGAACAAAACACACTGATGAATAAAATAGAAACAGGCATGAGTACATGGAGCAGACTGACAGCTGTTTGGGACAGGAGGTGGGGGTGCACAGGACTGGATGAAAGAACGTGAAGGGATTAGCCAAAAAACATAGATAACACATAGACACAGACAACAGTGTGGTGATGGCCAGAGGAAAGGGGGGTGGGGAGGTGGAGGTGGGCAAAGTGAGGGTACCTGGGGCCGGAAAGAGACTTTGCTTTGGGTGATGGGCATACGATGCAGTGTGCAGATGATGTTTTGTTGAGTTGTACACTTGAAACGTGTATGGTTTTGTGAACCAGTGTCACCCCAATAAATTCAACTTTAAAAAATAAAATTTTTAAAAAGAGACTACGGGTGTAAAAGAAATCTTCAGGGCACAGACAGTTGCTTGTAGAGTGGCCCATATTCCTTAGCCTGGCAGTCAGGGTGTGCGTTATTTGGCTCCAACCCTCCTTTTCTATTCAGTATTCCTAAAAGTAGGCCAATATTTTCACACTTTTAAATCTTTGTAATTTTCTCAGCTCGGAATCCCTGGTCATCTTGTCAAACTAAAGCATGTTTATCTTTTTAAACTCAGTTCAAATACTATGCCCTCCACAAGGCCTTTCTCTTCCAACCAAATTCCTCTGTGTTCCTACAGCCCTTCGCTTTCACATCTACCTAAGGTTTATTTGCTTTTATTTTGCATATTATAGTTGATTTTTTAAAATATTTCTGCCCATGAATTTAAACTTCTCGGAGGCAGTAAATCGCTTATTTTTGTGTACCTTATCATTTCTGGCTTAAGTATTATGTTTTACATATAATAAGAGCCTAATAAGTATCACACTACACAACTAACTCTTGAATAGGGCCTATCCATGGATGTTCAAAGAATATTTGTTAAAAGAAGTAAGTGTTATAGATTTCCATTTTGGTCATTTGAATTTGATCACTTCAAAGAGACAAAAAAAAAGGGGGGGGGGCATCAAGGAAAAGAAACCTTTATGAGGAATGACTCATAAAGTCATAATAAAAGTAATGCATGCAGAAAGGTGCAGTGAAGAAACCAAAAACTGCCTGTACCCATTTTGGAAGTGGAACCTCCAGCCCCAGCCACCCCAGCTGATGTCACATAGATCAGAGATGAACCACCAGCTGAGCCCTTCCCAAATCCCTGAGCAAAACAAAATGTTTTTTTAAAGCCACCTTTCTAGCTTTTTCTAATCACTAATATATATATATATATAT